GGGGTGCTCCATGGCCAGGTTCCGCGCTGCAGGACTCTCCCCACACACAAACACGGGCAGCGGGCCACTCCTGGCCCCTCACTGCAGCCACCCGGGGCCTGGCGAGGGGCAGCCCAGCCCTTTGCCTGAGGACTCTGCCTTATGGACAGGCCATTTGCAGGAACTGGAGCCTGGTGACGCAGGAGGGGGTGTGTTTATACAGGGACCCCTTGCCTGGCCCTGGAATGTCTCTGGCTCTGGGGTGGGCTCCATCAGTTGCTCAATGGCCACCAGCAACAGGACGTAACCATGTTAGGCCTGGCTGGGGTTGGGAAGGGATGGTTGTATAGGGACTCTGGGCAGGCTGCAGGGGGACTCCAGCCTGGCCATGGGCTGGGCTACGTTTCTAAGCACACGGTGGCCAAAGGCCTGCGGGAGATGGTCTGGGTCCCACGGCCCTGCTCTCATGCTGCTCCTACACCAGGTGCCCCATACGTTGCCTTGAAAGGGTGAGCGTGCCCCACTCCCTGACCCACAGCGCCCCCTACGGCCACGCTGGGGCAGTCGGCTCTGCACTGTGAAGGGAGAGTGCCCCCTGCTGGGCTCCCTGCTTGCTCCCAGGAGCACAGCTCCCCTAATGCTGTACCGGGGCCCTGCCCCCTACTAAGCCCTGGCCCTCTGCCTTGTCTCTCTGACTGCACTCAGCATGTACGGTCCTAGCTCTCCCCCAGACATGAGGGTTTCAGAGGCTGGAGCCACATCACCCCTGATCAAAGGGAGCGGGGGGCTCCCTGGCGGGGTGGGGCAGAGGTGGGAGCTGCTGGGCTAAGGGGAAGAGGATGGAGCCCTGGATGCTCTCACCCCCAGGCATCCACTGTCTCTTCCCACTCGCTCGGTGCTGCCAGCTGATGCTGCCTGTCCTGCAGCATCTCCCCATGGGGGCCTCAAGCATCTGCCTGCTGCCCCTCACTGCGGCGCCAGGGCTGCTGAGAAGCGCTGCCACAACAGGCTGTTCTCACCCTTGTTAGCAGGAGTCGAGCCCTTGTGAATGGGGAGGGAGGTGTCTAGGGATGGGGACGGGAAGAAGCACTCCTGGGTTCTCCCCTGGCCCTCCCGGGGGAATGGTCGCCAGTGGTTAGAGCAGGAAGGGCCAGGAGTCAGAGCCCTGGGGTTCTGTCCCTGGCTTTGCCACTGACTGGCTGTGCACACCTAAGTCACTTTTCTATGTGCCTCAGTTTCCCCCTCTCTGTAACATTCCCCTCCCCTGCTTGTCAGCCTTGGGGGTGGGGTACTCTGGCTCCAGACAAAGGCTCAAGGTTACAGTTCCCCTGCCAGAGCCCCCTGCCTTTTAACTACCTCTGTCCCAGCTCTCCGGGAGTAGGGGGCGCAGGGAGACCCCCGAGCTGTGTTCTGTGGGGCAAGAGGAACCCAATCAGCCGCCTTTGTGGTATGAGATGTGAGTTGTAAATTATAGATGCAAATGTCGCGGCCCAGCTGTCAAAGGTGTTTCATTGCGGGAGACTAGAAGAGCCAGCGTGGCGCCCTGGAAATCCTGCCAGAGCAGCACCTACCCTGGGGCACACAGGACTCGGGTTCCATGCCCAGCTCTGCGAGGAGAGTGGCAACTAGTGGTTAGAGCAGGGGGGAGCCACAAGGAGCCAGGATTCCTGGGTTCAGTTCCCTCCATTGTCCCTGACCTTGAAGAACAAGCCTCCGCCTGCCTCGGTTTCCCCACTTTGTGAGACTGATGCTTCTCACGGTAGTGCTGAGATGCTGCCAGAGGGGACAGGCTGGAGGGACTGGGACTGCGGGGTGGCACTCCACCTGCCCCAGCCGGCCTAGGAGCCAAACAGGTCCCTGGCCCCTGAGTTAAGTGGACAAGAGAATCCTATGGCAAGGGCGGGTAACTCTAGTGCCTCCTGTGGAACGGGTGTGCAGAAGTGGGACGGGGGTTTCTTCAGCACTCCAGGGCCCTAGGCATGGCAGTTTGGGACAGGAAGTGGGGGAGATGCCCAAGTCCTGCTGCTCCTACATGGGGACCGGGGCGGGGGAGGGGATTCTGCCAGGGAGAACTGTCTGGGAAGGAGCCTGGGATCTTTATTCGGCCTGGCCAGGGCTAGAGTCTGTTCTGAGCCTCGGATCTGGCTGCACAGCTCCCCCTAATGTTGCACTGAAGCATTGGGGCAGCACTGCCAGGGGAGAGCGCCCCCTGCTGAGCCCCCACCCTGCTTCCTGGTGCTTCAATGGGGGTGGCGGGCTCATGCAGACTTAGAGGAGCCCTGCCTGTCCTGAGCCACCTGACCAGTTCCCTGCTGACACGCGCCAGCAAATGCGTCGGCAGCCTCCTGCGTGCCCTGGCCGATCCCAGCCAGGACCTTACACCCAGCACCTGGGACATCGGTGCAACTCCACTGCACTTAAACATCTGATCCCAGAAGAGCAATTCTCCCCTGGCTAGGGCTAACCCCAGGGACTTCTTTTATTCTGCTCTCTGGTTCAGAGCCTGTTGGGATCCCGTTTGATTATTTAATTATTTGCTAGGTGTATTACGGTAATGCCTAGGCACCCCAGTTAGGGGGCCCTAACCAGGACCCCATTGTGCGCGGTGCTGTTCATTCTTTATTAGGGTATTACGGTAGTGCCTGGCCCAGGAGCATGTTGTGCTAGGCACTGTACAGTCAGGCTAGGAGGACAGGCCCTGCCCAAAGAGCGGAGACAGGCGAGGAGCCATGCACACAGACAGGTGGGGAAGTACAAGGCGCCAAAGGGAGGATAACGGGCAGCACCCGCTGTTTCCAGCCAGCCACCAGGGCTATCAAGAGCCCTTTCAGTTTTTTTCATGATTCTCAAGGCTGGGCTACCAGCACCATCTGCCTGGCAGGGTAACTTACGAAGGCTTCTGTAGTTAGTCCTGTGTGGCTGGGCTCATTTCTGCCTTAAGGGCTGCTCCCTGCATCGGCCCACCCTCCCCAAATGCTGGATGCACCTAGAGTTAAACCTCGGAGAACCAGGAACTAAGGAGTGAAGCTGCCTAGCCAATGGCAGAGGATTTTCCAAAGCATATAATATAACTAGTCCAGCTTTGAGCCATTTTTCACAGGCCCAGCAAAAGGCAACTCCCTGGCCCTAGAACCTCTCTGCCCCCTGCACAGAAGTCCCCGTGTCGCCCTATGTCACCCAAATGCTTGGAAGATTGTTTCCCACCGGGGCTAAATGATGCTTCTCCCCAGACGTGTCATTTTAGCCTAAACTCTTCCACTTTAGCCAAGTTTTAAGCAGTTGAAAATGGGGAAACATTGGGCACAAATGCTGCTACCGGCCGCACTTCCAGAGCTGTTCCAAACCGTGGAGCAGCTGAGTCCACGCAGGGCTCCAATTCCCCAGAAAAATCAACAGCAAAACTCTCCCTGGTGTCAGCAGGATCAAACCGATGAAGCTAGAGAGCAAGAGAGGCTGAGGCTGGGGTGGCCTTTTAAGGAAGGTGGGTTTAGTCCACCCACCCCCCACCTGTAGCTAATTAGCCCCCCCCCCAGGTGCTGGGTTTGAGAGTTGGGCATCACAAAGCTAAGGTAAGAGGCCACCAGACCAGCTGCCCAGTGGGTCCCAGCAGACCCGCAGGGGGCAGGTAGGGCCAATGGATCCTGGGGCAGGGGCAAGGTGTTTTCATGTGTTCTGCCCTGAGGCTGAAGAAAGGGGCACAAATCTGCTACTGCTGGGCTGGGTTTACAGGAGCCCCAGGCCTGCCGGGAGGCCCCTCTCAGCGCTGGGTCGGCCCGGTTCTGCTTCGCTCTCCGGCCTCAGCCAGGCGGGGGGCGTTGTGGGCTGCAGCAGGAGGCCGGCTCGGACCCTGCTCGGACCCTGCTGGCGCCCGCCCCGTGAAACACGCTGCGCCTGCGGGGAAAGTCTTTACTGCGGGTGCAAATCGCGGGGCTCCCGCAGCTGGGGATTGAAGGGGCCGGGGCGGGGGGGCTACGGGCGGGGAGGG